CCCCCCCCCCCCCTTTTTTTTTTTTTTCTTTTACCGGCAAAAACCCAACCAGCTCGACTTTCCCTTCCAGAGAAGGCTAGGGAAAGAAAATCTTTTGTTTCCAGAGGCCAGGCAGAGAGAAAGAAAGAAAGAAAAAGAAAGAAAGAAAAAGAGAGAGAGAGAGAAAGAAAGAGAAAGAAAGAAAGAAAGAGAAAGGAAAGAAAGAAAGAAAGAAAGAAAGAAAGAAAGAAAGAAAGAAAGAAAGAAAGAAAGAAAGAAAGAAAGAAAGAAAGAAAGAAAGAAAGAAAGAAAGAAAAAGAAAGAACGACAAAGGGGAGCATTTTTTATTGAACGTAATCTTAATAAAAATATCTATCTCTTTTCGGGGAGGGTGGGGGTTCTTTCTGCTCCTGCTGTCTTTCTCTCTTTTTTTTCTCTCTCTCTCTCTCCTAAAACATTTCTAATAAAAGAACTACAGATATGGAGGAAACCTGGAAATCAAAGGTGTTTTCTTGTTTGTGACAGTTGTAGTTGTTTTTTTCCCCTCTCTCTTCGGTCTCTGCGCTCTTTCTGTATGTTTCTATGTATGTGCGTGTATATGTGTGTATATAAATATATATAGATATTTAATAAAATAATAATAATCCTTTCTTTGTGGACCAGAAAGATTTTAAAAGCATCTTTTTTCTCCCTGAGTTCCATCTGCATATCTATTCCATGGAACAACAGAATTGACACAGTTTTTGGAGAGGGTGGGGGAGTCAAGGAAGAAATACAAAAAAGAATCAAATGTACTTTACGGCAATCCTTCCAATTTTTTTTTTAGATAATGGATTGTTCCTTGAATTCACTTGGTCTTCCTTCATGCCCCAATGCTTCTGGCTACTAAAACCTGATTTTGGAATGCCTTGGTTCACATTGTTTTGATAGGATATTCTTTAATATTACCATCAACCTAATCATCGTTGTCATCATGATTGCAAAATGGGCTAGCTTGTTTGACTTCTCTCTTGGATGTATAGATCGTGGTTATGGTCTTGGATGGGTAAAGCAAACAGTTTCACTTCCCCACTATGAACAGGACAGCAGGTTTCTTAGGCACTTACAGGGACAATGTATTATGGTTAATTAAGCCAAGGTGTAATCAGATAAGTAGTTTTTTTGCATTATCTTCCTCCCATTATCTTCGGCGGCGTGGTTGTTTGAAAATAACAAATAAACAATGTCTTTCTTTTAAGAAAAAAGACTGCGAGAAAGCTGGTATCGGATTTAAAAAGGAAAAAAACAAAACAAAACCACAACCCAATGTGTAGCTCAAAGCAATTTTTCTTAGCTTTAAATGAAATCTTACAGAAACATCTGGGGGCATAAAAGCTTTTACTACAGATTGGGAAAACACAGGTACGTTGTGTGTACAAAGAAGAAAGGAATCTTCGTTATTGGAACTTAACTGTGTTCACACCGAAGGAGACACCGTTCTTTTAGAAATGTCGGTTGCTGCTTGCTTTTAAAATTTCTTTTCTTTTTTTTCTTTTTCTTTTTGCCTTTCGCAATATCACTTCGGTGGATTTATTTTTCGGCCCAGAAACAATGGGCTGCTGAAAACTATCACCTGCAAATTAATGAATATAAAACCGGACTTTATTTGAATTCCTTATAGGTCTTTGGGATGGTGATTAAAGGCCCTGGCCTGCAGTAGAGAGAGAGAAAAAGGTTTTCTTTTGTGTGTGTGTGGTTTTTAAGAAAAAGTAAACAAAGAAAATAATATCTCCATTAGGCAATGGAGAGTCTGTTTATTTTAAACATCAGTTGCTCTCTCATCTTTTGTAGCAAAATAATATCTTGTTAAACATGTGTACACGCGTGTGTGAGGGAGAGAGCTTGTGTGCACATTTCAGACCCACCAGAAGCAGTGAGAATTTGATAAAGAAGGTTTGGAACAAGGCATTAGAATTACATTACCTGGATTATTTTAAACAGAAGGGGCAGCATCGTCAAAGAGAAATAGCCACATCTGTCACGGTTCTCTGAATACTGGCTTGGATGTACAGATAATGTGGTACTCGCAGGCAAACTGGCTAGGAAAGTGGGAGGGATACGTGAAAAGTGTGTGCGTTTGTGTTGTCTGTGTGCCTGTGTGTATTGGGGTGACTCTGCAAATCTACAGGGCAACAGTGTAGGCTAATTTGTATGCTAGGCCCACCTAATATGAATCCCCAAACAAGTTATGGGAACTAAGGTAGGCAAAGCTAGGCCCCCAGTCAATGAAAAAATATATATATATATATCTCATTTTGTGCCAAAGGTGTTTTTTTTTTTTCAAAAGGCAACTGGACTTTCTTTGTTTTGCTTTGAAGGTGTTTCGCTTCTCATCCAAGAAGCTTCATCCGTTCTGAAAGAAGCGAAGTTCTTCATTCAGAACTGAAGAAGCTTCTTGGATGAGAAAGTGAAACGTCTCCAAGGAAAAACAAAGAAAAGTCCAGTTGCCTTTTGAAAAAAGCACCTTTGGGACAACCATGATCTCCATAGATATTCTCATTTTGTGACAATTTTGCAAAGAAGAAGAAGAAGAAGAAGAAGAAGAAGAAGAAGAAGAAGAAGAAGAAGAAGAAGAAGAAGAAGAAGAAGAAGAAGAAGAAGAAGAAGAAGAAGAAGAAGAAGAAGAAGAAGAAGAGGAGGAGGAGGAGGAGGAGGAGGAGGAGGAGGAGAAAAAAACACCTCTCCCTAAATCCATTCTTTACGACAGACATATAATCTATCAAACACCCATTGTCCAGATTGTGTTTTTTAAGTGGACATCACGTCCTCTGCATGTTGCTGAAATTAGCCATGCTCTACAGTGGTTCTTAAAAAACTGGTTTCCATGCACTAGGAAAGGTAAGTTTCAGGGTTGTTGTTTTTTTAAGACAGCCGTATTGTTTGCAATAAATTTGAGAGCTGGATTCAAGAAAGGAGTCGTTGGATGCAACGGTTGATATAGCAAAGGTCCAAAGTGCAACATCCTTCTTAGCGCCCCGAGTATGAATAATATTTTGAAAAGCTAACAGGCCAGGTGTAATTATTTTTTTTCCCTTTGACGTTCTAGCTCCCTTCTGAGTGGAGAGCAGAATTTTTGCTTTGAGGAACATACATCTACGTTGCGCGTCTTTACAAGACCTACCTCTTGCTTTGAAGGTGTCTTAGGCCAGGTGGAATTACAAGTAGTCCTCCACTTAATGGCCAGAACTGAGCCCCACATTTCTGTTGCTAAGTGAGGCAGCTGTTAAGTGAGCTTTGCCCCATTTTGTGACCTTGCTCGCCAGAGCGGTTAAGCGAATTGCTGCGCTTGTCAAATCGGTAACACGGTTAAGTGAAAACGGGCTTCGCCCATTGATTTTTGCTGGTCACAAAAGGAGATCACGTGACTCTGGGACACGGCAGCCATCGTACATACGAGTCAGTGGCCAAGTGTCTGGATTTGGATCACGTGACCAACGAGGAGTCCGTAACGCTTCTAAAGAATGAAAAGGGTCATCGGCCGCCTTTTTCAGTTCGTGTTGTCATTTTGAATGATCACAAAATGAACTCTTGTAAGTCCAGGAGTACTTCCCTTGCTTCTATCTAGTCCATAGGTTTCTTTTGGGTTTTTTTGAAGGAAATGACAACATTTTGTGAGAGGAATAAGATCAATTGTCCTAGTTTGATGGGTTTTGGCGTCCTGTCAAAGCATGGGGTGATATTTTGCAACTTACCGGGTATCGGAATGCAGCAAAATAGAAGCTTCAGATATTTCTTCTGGGAGAGTCTCCATTTATTTGGTCCTTTCAAGTCTAGTTCATGTTGATTTGGGCGCCTTGCATAGGGTTGAAGATGGAATATATAGACACGCGCAGGTATACACGCTTCTTTCACAGATACAAGAAAGGGAAATTGATTTTTCCCCATGTGGCAAAGCAAAAATATGCTAATGGAAAAAGAGAATTTTTTTTTGAATATGTTGTAGGATAAAACAGTTAGAAAAACAAACTTCTCCTGCAAATGAGGGTCAAACTAATAGCCAGCAACTGGTCTGTGAGAGAAACAGACATTCAACTCAGTTATATTACTGTCTGGGAATGTGTACTTAGAGCCTGTACATTATTGCGTACTATATATTATTGAGACTCTGGAAAAAAGTGTAGAGAAGAAGTAACAAAGAAGCTACGGGCAAAACAAACCACCTATTTAGTGATCT